TACGGATCAAACATCTAATGGAAAAAAAACAACACTGCGCAAGTTCAGTAGCAGCTATCAGGGCTCAGATGGCACTTTCTTCCATGAATGATTTTTTGCTGCTGGTGTTAATTCAGAAGGACATGAAAGTCATCCAAAATAGTAACTGATGGCTGGTGTTCTCTAAACCCAGTTGAACTTACCTTATTAAAAAAAAAGGCTCTATTTTAAAAAATAAGACTTCTTGTACTTTTATTATACCTTATAAAGATACACAAAGCAGGTCAGTACTAAGGCAACCACATGTCTTCTGAGGGCTACAGAGTTCTCAACAGACACCTGTGCACACCTGCAATTGATTTTAGTGAGGTTTTTCCCTTAATCCAAAGTTCCTGAAAAGGACAAATCCCTAACATCTTGCCCCACCCCTCCACTCGTTCTCAACTACTATTACATATTACATTTCTGATTGTAGGAAAGTATTACAGTCATGCAAACTGTGACTCTTCAATTATTCTTATAATTTACTATCTTTACCTTTCAAGCCAGGCTGCTCTTTTCTAATACATTAAGCTGCCCTTGGTAGGAAAAAAAAAAGTGTCACCCAAAAGGGTTTCATTCACTTTTCAGGCCAACTACATCCCCAGCCTGTGCTGAAAACCACAGCCAGCACAACAAAAATCACCACCACAAGTACTTGGTTTTTCCTTTTTAAACAGGCAACCGACAACTTATTTTCCCACTGAAACAGTTACACAATGGCTATATGTCAAATTTGAAAAGTTCTCAAAATTTAAAAGTCAATGAAAGCCAGATTCTAGAGGGAGACAACATGGGTAAAAAAATATCAATACACATGATATTTTAATACAAAATATTAGCTTTTTTCTTTTTTTTTTTACACAAGTCAGTTTTTTTAAAATATAGAACCTTAAAAAATGAACAAATTGCTATCTACACACTATAAACACTTTTTTGTGCTCAGTTTGATCACGTTATCAGAACAATTTAAACACCAGTCCATAGTTTAAACACTGCCTTGAAGTTTTATGAAAACTATGCCGCACTGTGCACTACCATTATTATATGTACAGTGTGAAGCGCCTTCTTTCAGTTTTAATACAGTAGTAGAAACTGTTGAGTTATCAGGTTCTTTGTGGAAGGATGTCACATTCTACTCATGCTCATGACAGATTTGCGTTACATTTCAGTGGCACTGGTATGAGCAACCACATGTAATTCTGTGATTGTTCACTGGAAGAATGTCCATTACATATTCTGGAAGTACAAGTTCTTCTGCTAGATAAAAGAAAACTTGTTATTGTTAGTTTAGGGGAAATACTAGCCTGATTAGCCAGAATTTAACAATTTCTAAGCACTGAAATAAATTTTGATTTCTCAAAGTTGAATAAAAGTAACTATCGCATTTTCATAGAGATGAACTACATAGCAGGTACATCTCAGGAATATTTGTAATGGCCCATTTTTTGAACCCACAGAAAGGAAAAAATTTCCCTCTAAGTTGGAGGTCTTAAAAGGTCTTGTTTTAGTAGTAAATCATCCACAAGTTGCAGGCTGTTAGCCAAGTAGATTTAGGATGATTTACTTGCATTACAGTAATTTACACAATTGAACTTTATGCATACAGTACAAAACTATGAACAAAAAGGTGAAGCAAACTTTTTTATTTATATTCAGGTAAAAACATTAACCTGATGAAGTAAATTATTGCAGATTTGAGAAATCAGCACATAAAACAGTAGGACAGAGCATTGCTTACAGGTGCTTTATCTGTGTCAAAAGACAAAGGCTGAACTGTTTGTTCCAAGCTAGCGCTGGGGGGGGGGGGGGGGGGGGAGGAAAAAAACAAAAAACAAAACTACAAAAGTAACCAAGAACTTAGATCAAGGACAAGAAAACTGTTTACTCAAACAGGGAATGGAACAACTAACTTGTCTTTTAAAAAACTTTACATCAATTCGAAATGCTCTGGCCTTACCACAATACACACTGGCCAGCCCAAGCTTTTGGACTTCAACTACACGAAAGAAATAATTCTTCCTAGCCTCTAGTAAGAGGCTTTTGCTGCCTGAATCACTGTGTAAACAGCTCTAGAGCATTGACTGGTAAAGACTGTCGCCATTATATCCTACCACTACAGTAAAACTATGCTATAAGAAAGGTTCTACCTAGTTACAAAGGCTGAATTATATTGACAATATATATTTGATTTCAGTAAAATTTAAATTATCTTAATCAGAGAAAGAGGCATGGAGCAGTTAAATGCCCATGCTAACCAAAACGTAACAATTGTTGAATGTTGCACACAAAAAGAACCAAGTGAATTGCACATCAGACAATCATGAGGATGGGTAAAATTAAGAGGCAGGTGAGGGTACACAGAACTAGTCTACTAAACTATAATCATCAAATACATGGTGTATTTTAATTTCTGTACTTATGTACAAAAGTTGTCTTTGGAGGAAAAACTTCAGACTTAGCTAGATGGATACACACAGCCCAGTATTAAACTGCACAGCGACATTTATTGTTCCAGCCTGGAAAAACATCCCTTTTTAAATTTCACACAGCAAAGCAAGTTAAAAACTTCACTCATCAAATAAATGATAATTTAAACAAGAACTTGCTAAAGAAACCTTGTCACAACAACTTTTAGGGCCTGATCACTTTAAGTCCATAGGGGCCTTTAATGAATATCAACCAAGTGTCTTTGTTTATAATCTGCAAGCTGTTTTTCTACAACAAGAAGGCGTAACATGTTTCCTTGACTCGGGTGATATTTAGAAAAGAATCACAAGTTTCTCTTTTGCTGTAACAGGCAGACATTGCATTTTTAATTGTGATCAGGAAAGATGGAATGACTGCTGCCCTTCTCTTGCAGCTATCAAGAGTTTTTCACGCATTATCTCAATAGTTGAATAGTCCGGCAATTTGAGATAGTTCACACAGGTCATTACTGAGGGTAAGAAATCATCTGGGTTCTCTGTAGACTCAAATGTCTTGCGTACAATTGTCAATGGAGGATTCAAACTTCGAAAACCTATTAACGAGAAAAGACATTCTGCATAAGGTTGTTCCTCTTAAAAACTCAGAGTTAACCATGTAGAAATCTAACAGTGACAGAAGCATGCACCTCACAACTGACTTCTTAATCTGTTTTTAAAAGTGGCTTTAAGGTCATATAGGCAAGCTAAAAAATACCCCAAATCTTTCTGGAGATTAGTTTTCCAAGATGAATTTTAAAAAAAAGAAATAAGCTAAAAACATCGAATTTTAATTCTATGTTCTGTATGTGTAAAAAAAAAATGTTATGATTGGAGTAGGGTTAAGAGTCTGTTGGTTTTATACACATTTTCTAATTCTCTGAAATTTTCTGACTGCTGTATATTACTTTTTTACTCCAGCTGAGGTTTTTATATGCCTAACTCTCAATCCTGTCTGCACCATCTCTTCCCAAGAGAACTCCAAACAATTAAAAAGAAAAAAATCAACTCTTTCACCCTAACCCCGAAGGAAGAAAGTACGTAATGGAACAGATGCATAAATTCCGCTTTCACCTGCAAGGCGTTCAGCTGAGAATACAGTAAAATGTGTATTCTATAATGGTCCCTAGTAAAGACAGTTTTCCTCACTGCCTCTCATCTACATTCTGAAATTCAAAAGAGGGAGAAATAAAATTTTATCACAATGCTAGTATCTTCTCCTTTCTAGAAGAGATTGTTTCCCGGTAGAAATGCATCTTTTTGTTGTTGTCATAACTTAACGCACCTCTAGACAAGGAATACAGTATTAAGGGGTTTCAGTTTTGTTTAAATCTTGAACTATTTTTTTTGCTCTCCAGTTGGTTATCTGGTAGCATAAATTAGAACTGGCAACAGTCAATTGAATGAAGTGTCATGAGATTGACACAAAGTTGATGAGAATTCTACCTGAAGTCTACCCAGCCACTTCTGAAACTAGTAATATCCAACAAGTAAGAACCTCTAAAATACAGTTAAGTAGTTTTTCCTATACTGAAATAATCCATTTATTCTGAAATGCATTAACAAGACTGATTTCATATAAAGCAATATGGAATTAACAAAACTTACCTCCTACAGGCAGTCTGGGGCTACCTGTCACAAACTGAAGAAAGAGTCTTTGCTGCTCACTATCAAAGCTACTGAGAATTTCAAAGAGATACTTCACTGCTCGACTAAAAAGGGGAAAAAAAAGCAAGCTATTATTTTGCTTACAGTTAAAATCACTGTATCAAATTCATATTCAGTGCAGTATGAATAAATTTCATATAATTCCTTTAGCTTGAGTAACAGTATATCAAGATTATTTAAATACATATTTTCTAGTGCTAATATTTATTTATTAACAAGACCAAACACCATATTACCTGTCATGTGTATAACCGTGATCTGGCCTGCAACACTCCATTAAAGTCTTTGCATCCCAAGTGTCCGTTTTACTGCCACACAAGAGCTGCTCCAACTATAAAATTTAAAAAAAAAAACCAGGAAAGTAAGTTTTCCACTTCAGAACTCGAGGCAGAACAAGCACTATCCGTTCTGACTACTATTACAGCATTCTAGTTTCTGGAATGGCTTGCTGCAAAACAACCTCAGTCACCCCAAGTGATCCTCCCAAATTCTTTGAATGCAATGCCTTCTCATCCCAGTGACAGCCTCATTTGCTGAAACTGCCATTGCATAAAATCCACTACCACATGAGATGCCGAGTACATTTCTTAGAACAGAGACAGGCCTAATAAGCAGTTTACACTGGAGAATCAAAAATGCCTTTACTTTTTGGAAATTTCACCATTTTCGACAAAATCTACAGGAACAGGAAGATTAAGTGTTTACAACTGCTTTTTAAAACTAAGCTTTTCTTTCTAAGAAAAAAAAAATCTATCATTAGACAGAAACAGATTTGTCAGACAGCAGTTTTGTATCTAAATTACTTTGCCTCTTCTTTCCACGCACTTGGGCAAGCAGAGATGACAGGCTACAACCAAAACATTAAAAGCTTCTACAGACATCCTTCTAGGATACATGAGGAGTTCTAAAGCCCAAATCTCAATAAAACCAGAGGTTTGACACATCTAGCTGTTCTGTTCACAAACAAAAGAATTTTACAAGTTCTTCATAATAGTTTAGGAATGGTTGTAACATAACAGTTCAGTCCACTTAAGACTAAGAATTTTACAAGGAAATTTATATGGTGGGTAGCATGAACAAGGCAAGACCAGCTATCCTTATTCTCTACCCCTTCATCTGAATTTCCTCTTACTGTCTATAAAGCTTTGTTAAAGAGCTGACTACTTTTTTTTTAATAGAACATACAGCTAGCATCCACAGCTGTTAAAAGGTATTGCAATACAAGGAATTAAAGTATCCATACCAACAAAGAGAGTCTGCATATAAGTCTAAACACTATTATTAGAAAAGCTGAGTACTCAATTTTAAAGACAATGGAGCTGTTCGTCATAAAAGCATCAAATAAATGACCACGAAACACAGAAATCTTTAAGTACATAATTTAAAGGACACCAAGTTTTACTAATATGCATCACAAATAAAATGTAATCAGACTCTGTCACAATTGCACTGCATCCAGTGCATACCTAGGTTGAGACTGTCCATACATAGAGATGCAAGGCTATAAAAGCATCAGTAAAAACACTTTTACCAACCTCCTCAGGATAGAAGTACTGAAGGTGACTGAGGGGGAAGACTGATTCAAATCCATCTCTGAAGGAGTCAAACTGTCTGGCAACACCTTCATTTAGTGCCCAGAATATAACCAACTGTAAGGAATTAAACAAAAAAAGTATTTTGAACAAAGGAAGTGCAGAATGATCACTACCGTACAAAAGACTACAGCTGCAGAAAAAACCCTATGGAAGCCTGGCCACATGCTCACTGTAGCTGTGGCAGAATCTGAGCTTTGATCCATGGAGCTGCTCTACAGCATTGCTGCATTCTGCCTTAATTCATAACCTCATACTGCTGTGTGTGCATGAGTGCAGCGCTGCTGCAATGCAACTGACATAATTTGTTGGGTTAGCTCTTTACAACTTTCTCATGTGGCCTGTCACTGCAAATTAGCAAGAATCCTTTGGTGTTCAAACAACCCCATGTTTAGAATATTCTAAGCATGCAACTCATGGAGAGTTCAAGCAACTTATTTGCCTTTATTTTTCATTTAAAAAAGGTTAATACATGGCATTCAGAATAGCTGGTTAAACTGATCCTATTTAACAAAATATTTTAAAACAAATCTAAGCATTTATTAGATATTTTTAGAAGCCTAACCTAGATGTTCTCTCTGTACACTGAAAGCTATTTAAAATTCAGCAGCTTAAACAGAAATCCTTAGGGCATCATTGGGAGTATTATATTAGTTTCCCCCATGGAAACACATAGATCCCTTTTCTAATATATAGTTACAGAGAGTAACTTTACTGGTTTTGTTATAATAAGTTAGCTTAATATAAGAATACACAGGAAAGAGAAATAATTTCATGTTACTGGGATTTGGTAAGAATTGTAAGGCAAAAGACAGTAAGACAGTAGTCTAGGCTTTTTGTGCATTTTTTTTTTTGTTCTGTTTTTGTATCTGTAGTTACCCTCTCAGGATTAAATTATTCCCTCTCAGGATTAAATTATTCCAAAGTGGACAGCACATACTGAAACAATAATCTCTAGGGGGGAGGGAAGGGGACATGACACAAACAAGAGCAAACTTCTTTTGACTCTCCTGCAGCCAGTATTTCTCCACTAAATTAAAAAATATATTACACATGGCAGATTGCATGCCAAGTTCAAATTCCTTTGTCAGGTAGTGCTACTGATGATTACACTTGCCTTGGATATTCTCAACTCTAACAGGAAATGAAGGGTGGTTGTAAAACATGTGTTGTCAAAACACAGCTCCTATTTTTTAAATGCGTTAAAAGCTCTGACCTGGAATGCTGAGAAAACCTTTGAAAGATATCGAAGGATGCATCTGAATACGATTAAAACCCTCATTGACAGTGCTGGACTCCTGAAGCAAGTATTTAACCCTGTCCCAATAAGTGAAGAGCTGTTTCTTGAGGCAGCTCTCAGATATGGAAGTCTATTAGGATCTGTTGATAAGCTTTCCTACAAGAGTTAGGCACTGAATTTCAGGAAAGATACATACCCATACATACCCCTACTTCTACACATCAGGTTGCAATGCTGAAGAGCAAGCTGGCAAGCACCAGTAGCACGGAAGGCTGTTCTACTGCATTCTATAACATAGACTATCCTATGGTTATTCTAGCAGCAGAGTTCCTGACTTAGAATTGTGATTGCTTTTTATGACCAGGAGTGTGTAGCAAAATAAAGCTACACTGTATTCTTTTGGATTCAGAGAAGAGATCAAACTGCTACACAAAAAAACCCTCCACTCCAAAAATTTTTTTGCCCACAAATTTAGAACAAGCAAGTTGGCCTCTTTCTTTATCGTACAGGGGAGAAGGAAAGAAAAAAAGAAAGAGATAGTAACATCTTTCACTCTACTGGTAGCTGAAATAGTTCTACTTTCTGATAAAGGTAGCCCCTGTGGCAACCGTCCTTAGAGAAAAAGGAGGTGGAGGGTGGATAGACATGACTGCAGGAGAGGCATGAAGAATAGCAGTAGGATATTCTAGCTTTATAAACCACTTTTAAAGGTAATCCACACACAAGATTTTAACGAAAATGACATTTTCAAGAGCAGGGCAGCTGACCCACAGGGAACTATACAGGCTAGCTGATTAAATATACTGTTTCTAAATTGCAATTCATCATACTTGAGACACACAGGACAACAATTTTCTGAGTCTTTTCCATTTCCTTGACATCAAATCTGTAATGCTAATCACTGGGATCTAGTTTAAAGTCTCCTCTATAAGGCAGGAATATAAAGACAAGGACAGAAAAACTGCACAGGTGTCCTTTAAAGAAAATAGTCCCAAAAGTTGTTTAAAAGAAGCAGAAAGCAAGCTTTCTGTAGTGATCTGCTTTTCCTTTACAATGCCAGAGGCCTGCAATAGGACAACTATAGGACATCTGAGATGCCTGCAAGCCTTTCTCAGCATATCAGATACCCGACGTGTTACCCAGAAGAAAAAAAAACGACTCAAAACTGTACAAAAATCAGACTTGAAAGCAACCTTGCTCAGCTTTCCTCAGTAAACAGAGACTGCAAATGCTGCTTCTAATAAACTATGGTTGTTGGCATAGCCCATCTGTAAGTCTGCAAACAGCTTTATATTAAAATGTTTAATTTTAAGTGATTCTTGACTAGCAGAATTTGCTTTCACTAAATAAAGATATGAGAACTGGATATGTGCACAACACCTTGAATCTGACAGATGAACCACAAGTGCTCAATATTCAGTTATAAGGATGATATAATAGCTTTGCAAAGTTCTCAGTTGATAACCAGCCCCTTACTGAATCGTTTCTACCCAAAATATCAGCTATGTTTCTTATCAGTGCTTGAATATCTTAACAGCCCTCAGAATGAAATTGGCAGACTAACCTGTCAGAAAATGCATTATTTAGGAATTGGAATAATGTCTTTTTCGTGATGCAATCAATCATTCTTACCTCCACTCATGACTTCATGTGATAACACTGCATTCTTCCTGCTTTTCCTCATCCATTTTTTCAGACTGTTTTTAACCTGTTTGCTTTAACACTTTCTTATGCAGAAACTATTTCCTACCCTTGTTGAGCAGTATCACCCCTTCTGTTTTTCTACATTTTGTGTCCCTTCTGACTTAGGAATAAATCAATATGCAAGTGTACTGTCAAATTATTATGGCACTGTTTTGTGCTCTGTTTCTTACCTATTTTTTTTTATGCTTTGGGGGTTTTTTGGTTTTGTGGGTCTTTTTTTGTGTGTGTGGGTTTTGTTGTTGTTGTTTTGTGTTGTGGTGTTTGGTTTTGTTTGGCTGTTTTGTTTTTAAGAAACTACTGCTCTAATTTTGACTTGCAACTGAGGTAACATTTTCTTAAGTCTGTCTCCAAAACATTTTACTATTATTATAGCAGTTCAAAGCCCACTGAAGAGTGGGTAGCAGGTGCTAAATCACTATTGCAAACAAATTCATTATCAAACCCGAATGATAGAACTTGTTGAAAGATTATGACAGTCCATAGCTCAAATTACTCCACTTGCTACACTTTTTATCCAAAAAGCCATACTTGACAACTTCATTAGGTATAAATCAGACATTTTTTACTATAAAATTTTCAAGTCAGGTGCACTGACTATGATTCAAACAGTTTTTCTGTAGTAATAAACTAGTGTAGGACAGAAGCAATCAATAGGAAAATTATTGCTATGCCCAGTTCACAAGAATGAACTGAAACATATACAGAAACAAACTACTTGGGAGCAAGGTGAGAAAGAATAAAGAAAATTTTAGTCCTAGCTTTGCTTTTACATACTCTGAGATACTCCTCTAAATTGTGGATGGTGACTGGTGTATCTTTTCCCCCTTTTTTCAGTTCTATATTAGGAAACCCAGGAAGTGTGAAGTCCAGCCCTAGATCTTCCACTGAGCAGCCATTCATAGTCAGAGCCTCCAATGCATACTGTAGACTTTCTTTGGTCTGAAAAATTAGAAGTGAAAACCAGTGAGAACAATTCATTCACATTAACTAATCTGAAAGTTATGACTTCTAAAGCAGTTTTGACTAAGGAAACATTTCTATAAGAATATTACTATTAATACTGTTACAGCACTCCTTGCTTTCCCTCTATATTTTTCATACATAACAGGAAACCAAGACAAACCAAATAAACTATCTTAATGGATAAACTTTAAAGATCATTTAGTATACTTTTTCTAGCATTTTGGAATTACTTTAACTTCTCACATATTATTTATTTAGAAAATACTATTGCAAGAGAAGGAGATGTGCAATATGCTAAGCCTCTTAGGCTATGTTTTTTTCCTTAGAATAGTTAGTGGCATTCATATTTGCCATGCATACTGACATTTTTCAGCTTTCATTCATCAGGTTTCAGGTTTTTCAATCTCTTGTTGGGAAATTAAAAGTGGTGATGAAGGAGAGAGAGAGAGACAATGAGGTGAAGAGGAACAAATCTTGCAATAACTTGCCCACAATCTTGCAATAACTTCACTAGTAACAAAGCAGACGTATTAAGAGTATAAATTAGGTTATTACCACCTACCATCTCTTAACATTGGATGCTAGCAAAGAGCGTGCATGCCAGAGACCTTTTATCACTACTCTGCAACAATGAATGGTACTATTTTTAGCTGAGTGGATAACCTTGAAAAATTAAGACTCTTCTGTATCTATAAAAGAACCTGTATGCTCACTTATGAAGCCAGTTTGCACCAGTTTTGCACACAGCTTTCAGTAGCGGAGGAAAAAACCCAAAAAAGACACTCCTAAGAAAACCTAAAAATTTTACTAAACCAACTGATAAAAAAAAAGTTAAGCCTTTTGACTGTTCAAAAATCAAGGACAGATTTTTTTCCTCTACTACTGAATTTGTTCGTCTTTTCAAAGTAAAACAAAAAGAGAAGTTACATTCGGCAAACATCTGACAGTTTTAGCCATTTCTAGCCTGTGTTTAATCACACAGAAGAATCCCATAATAAATTTCTCAAGTTAGAGTCTAATTACAAAAAGATCATGTTATAATTACTAGCCAGTGATTTAGTAACATTAAAACTACTCCTTTTATTAGAATGAAGTCATTGTCACTATTGCCATCAGTATTAAGCACTATCATACACTCTCAATTACGGCTACTTCATAAAATCCAAACATCTGAAGACGCACTCTTCCATTTCTAGGGTTACTTTCCCACCTGTGTTTTGTCCTGTTCAAGTCTTTTCTTCTGTCTCACAATATCTTCAAGGTGATATATTGATTTGGCTACTACTGGATCAATACTGAACAAGTCATGTGATGTCAAGGAAGTTTCCTGTCGTAACATCCATTTATAAAAAGGAAGTCCAAGAGGAAGGTCCACCTGGAAATTGAAACTTTGTTTAGTACTGAACTGTCTTCCAAAACTAACTTTCACTGTTTTATCTCTTGACTAGGTCTAAAATACTGTTTACTAATTCATAGTTCTGGTACACACCAAAACACCACCTCTGAACATCTTCACCTAAGAAATTTAGAGTTAAGAAAACACAACTGACTCCCTAGTGCATATACATCAGAGCAATCAGCAAGCTAGCAGCTGGAATAATAATAAGCCCAAAATTACCCTGAAAGACTGAAGAGAGATTGCAATACATGGCAGGCAATGGCTTTTCCTTTTTTTTTTTTACTATGGTCTCAAAAGCCACAGTAAAGGTCTTCAACATACATTACCCTTTCCCCCTCAAAAACTCCACTACATCTCCCCCCATCCCACCCAAACTGCTAGAGCTGAAAATAATTCCATGCAATTCTTAATGCTACCTTTTCCCCACAGTCAGAACTATAATTTTGCTTTAACCCTTCAGAATCACACTTTCATTTTATTCTCACCAGTCTAAAATCCATGATTGCCTTGGCCATGAGTTTTCCCAGAAAGCGGAACTTCATTTTAACTTTAGCAATGTGAGCTGGCTTGGCTGTTCTGCCAAAAGGAAGTGCAAAAAGGCCTTGAAGGTTATGGATGTACTTGGTACCTTCCTGGCTTCCTGTTGATGAAGAAAAAAAAAAGTTCAATGTATACACTGCTAGTTTCATTCCAGATGCAAATCTGAATGCAGCTATCTGACAACAACAGCCTAAAGTTTCCTATAAAATTAAGAAAACCCACAAATATAACAACACACTATCATGAGGCATATTATCTGACCACAAACTGAGGTGCTCTTTCAATCAAAGCCATTCATGTAATTAAAGTAAACTTAGAATGAATCCAATATTAGATAACATTGATAGTTTAGGTAGTAAAACATTTACCTTTTGGATTGGCTAAAGTCACTTCTTCTCCCCTCCAAAGGCCTAAGTCTGCTCTCTGCAGTTCCTGAGATACAAGTGCATAGAACTCTAGCGTTGGGCCTAGGCCTGTGCCAACCTTCAGGAAGGAGGGAGGATATGGGAAGAGGAGGGGGAATGAGATAAATAAATGAGTCCATTAGGTCAGTTCGAACATCAAAATCTTTACTAAGTCTGAGAGATATAGTACATCATTGGCTATAAAGATTGCATTGCAAAAAGTGTCCAGATAACCCAACTACACCAACATTTACAATATGACTGAGACAGCTTGAAAAGACCACATATCAAAAGGGAATAGTAATGGAAATAAAAGTATTAACCACCTAGTGATCATACTACAGAAGAAACATACACGGTTGTTTGCTTAGAGTTGGGAAAAAAAATGTGCTCTGCAGAATAAGACTGATTATGAAATTTAGTAGATCAGAAAAGAGTTTCTCCTAGGAACTAAAAATCACAAGTGGATTAGGGATAATTAGGAGATAAGATTTTGTGGCCCCAGCAATATGAAGGGCCAAGGGTCTGACCAAGTCATTCTATCAAAGTTGAAGCTTTTTTGTATTAATCTTCAGTAAAAAGGGGTTAAATTAGACTGCATTAATATTACTTACTTCATTCTCATACTGGATTTCCAACATGGCTCTTGAACTGCCTAGATCCTGCATCACAGATTCTGCCTGTTTCAACAGCTCATCTCTGTTCACAGTGCGCTACACATTAAAGAAGTTTTAAGTAGTGAAATTATGTCTGTAAGTCCAGCTCCCAAGGCAGATACAACAGGAAAAAAATCAGTTATCCAAGTTTTTCCACCCCATATGCTAATAGTTCCACAGTTCAACCATTTGTCAGCTTACACTTCGATAAAGTAATTCTTGCTTCTACATGAAAACTGACTAGAATTACAGTGTTCCATATAAAATGAAAAACCAATGCCTTACATTTGTAGCAGTGTAACTAAGAGGTACTACTCTTGCCCAGAACCTGTCAGTAGGACTGTAACATAGCAGAGAAGTGTTGTCATGCGATGTTACATGCCTCGAACTAATATGTGGAGAAGAAAACCCAGAAGAAAGATACTAAAATCCAGCAACCTAAAAGAATAATCTTATACCCTGCCTTCGCAGAGTCTCTAGTATGGGAAGTGGCAGGTTTCAAAAAAGAAACAAAACAGACACCCAACCCTTCCCCCCCAAAAAACCAGTACTGGGATTCCTACATTTTGGAATTTATGTTCTAGTTGAACTAGATTCTCATGTTTCTTATCTTTTTGCCCCAGAGATATTCAATATCATACAGAAGATCTTAGTTTAAGTTAGCATCTCTCCAGACTCAAGGCAGACACCCAAGACTCCCTCAATTTAAAACAGTCACAGCTTAGTTCTATTATGTTGTGACACAAGGTTTCATACTTTCCTAGAATACCGCAACATGGTTTTTGTTTATTCAGGTAACACTTAAGGGTCTAAATGCTATTGCTGGAATTATTCTGAAATTCTACATAAAGGAAAACAGAGGTTTACAAGCTAATATATGGAAATATCACGAACATTACCTAAAAATTAAAGTTCATTCCTGGAGCATAGTTTCAGAAGTTATGTAAAGACTCAAATTCAAAATTATGCAGGATGGGAAAAAGCAGTGTAGCATCCTCTAGCCCCTTCTGCCACCTGGTGGCAGAGAGCTGGGAGACATTGTGCTTTCTACTCAAGGGTTTTCAAATGAATAAAACCAAACCACCCCTTCATCTGTATACTATCCAAACCTGAAGTTTCATAAATAAATCTTGCCCGAAATTATATATATATATATATAAAAATAAACAGATCATTCATTCCATTTTTAGACATGATATACCTACTTTTTTCCTGTCCAGTCGCGGTGCCACTCTGCTATCCTGAGAATCTGATTGATTGATTTCTGGATTTGTATCCAGTAGTCTTTGCATGGCTCGATCACGATCAAAAGCAGTTACATAAAACAGCATTTGACGGGTATCAAATGGAAAGAAAAACGGGCTGTAAAGAGCATTGGATTAGTTAGCTGGGCTGCAACTAGGATCCATGGCTACAGGTTAGTTTAAAACACCATAGAAATACAGTATGCCTGAAATTAGTGCTTTATCAAACATTGTGGTGAAAGCCATATTGTATTTTCATATCAGAAAATAAATATTTTCTTACCTGTTCAGACATGTTTTGTAATTTGTAAATCTAACTTAGATCAAAGATTTTAAGAAGGTGGCTTAAGCTCCCATATTTGGGGGTAGGAAGGCAGGGATTAGAAAAGAATCTGCCTACAGCAGCACCAGCATTCTACCTTCCGTTATTTTCAAAAAACACTTTGAATAATCTGTGAAAGACTACCAGAGAAACATTTTATCAGTCCTACTGTTCGCAAACACTGTAGTCCTTCACTGACATTGAAGTGAAAAAGCATGTTTATAGAACAAATACTGCTACAGATATTTGTAGAAGAATACACATTCACACTCATCAATTGTTATCTGGAATGTTTACAAAGAAATTTAGAGATCTTATTTTAAAAATGAAAAACTAAATACAGTTTCTCTAGAGTATGTATTTCCAGTCAGTTGTTACCAACGTTGTTTCAATAAACATGCTCGAAAAATCCAAGAATGTCAACTCTGATTTCTCATTCTTTCAAGTGCAAGAGTTTTACAGCTTATACTCTGCATCAAGATACTACAAAGTACTATAAATATGGCTTTATAAAAAATATTTCCAACATTTTAATCAGTAATTATAAAAGTTTTCCTTTGTACCATATTGAATATGCCAAGATATAGTGTTATAACAAAAATCCCATTAAGAAGTTAACAGGAGAAAAAATAACCTGAATAATCAAGTACTATTATTCCAATGAGAAAACCTCAAATTGCTCAAAAAACTCCTGTAAGAAGCAGTCCAAACTTTGTGGCTAGTCTATCCCTCCACATTTGGTTTAAACTATGCAACATAGGTGTAAACATTCATTGAAGCGTAACTTGAAGAATTCTGTGACTACATTTTACTAATCTCCAGCATTTCCAAAACCCTTGTAAAATATGATGCAGCTGGGCTGCCCAGCCAAGAGGCCTACTGAACTCAAATTAGAAATACTATATGGTAAGCCATTCATACCATGTTTTTCCAAGTTCTGTCAGCCAAGTTGGTATGTTTCCTGTCATAATTACCAAAGGATCCTGAAGCTGCCTGTTTGCTTTTGCTGTCAGTTTACTGTTGATAAACTCTGATGTTGGTATTATCTCCTTGCAGATTGCATTCTGTGTTAAAGAAAAACAACGCACTTCTAGTTAAAGAAATACCAAGCCTCTGTTAAGAGATTTTCTTATGCTTCTAATTTGCAAGAAAAAAAATAAGCTTCCATTGTCACTTTGGTCATAGAGAGTTTAAGCCATGAAAAAAAGACTGAGTAGATCTCTACTATTCATTTTATTTTCAGGAATTATGTTGCTTTTTGAACTTAAGGAAGGAAAAAAGCATGGGAAATGTGTTTCACACACTATAGGGGAAATATGATTTACTATAAGAATGGAAACATGATTGACTAAAAATTTATAGCCTTCACTTTACCAGAAGTTAGAGAAATTAGAGAAATAGGTAGGGGGAGATTATAGTATTTGCATTACTCTGTCTTGGTGGGGGGTGGCAGCAGACAAGGGAAGAAAGCTATTTTAAGGTGCTTCAACACAGTTATCTGTATCAAGTACAAAAGTGATTTTAAAAGTGCTCTACTCACATCATACAAGTAATACCAGTATCGACTGATAGCATGTAGAACTCTCAAAAGAAGAATAACATCTAATGAGGGGTCTTCAAATGTTATGTTTTCAGGTGGAGTAGATATGAGGTAAACTTCTAGGGGATTTAATACTGAAGGGCATACACCATCTAGCAAGAAAAAAAGAATGTTATCAAAACAAATCAATTAGAAGTCTTCCTAAGACTGAGTTATCAGGACCCTAGGTAGTCATGGCATTCACTTAACTACAACAGTTAGACAATTCAGTATGTACCTTATTTTTAGTTTTAATACACACATACTTTTCTTACACTATGCTCTCTTAAGAAGTGTTGTGTCTCCCTCTCCTTTCAGAAATTTCACAAATCTAAACATATTAGCAAGGCAACACACTCACCATGCCACAATTCATCATGCTTTTTAGAATTTCTAGGGGAAGTCTTCGTGGGAGCAGTTTGTGCTCTTCCTCTTTTACCGCCAACACAGTCCTTATTACCATCTTCATCCTCTCGCACAGGTTTGTACCTAAAAAGTATTTAAAAGTTAAAAACATGTTTGTGAAATACTAACTTACATAGAAACAAAAGCACTTATAAAAGCCTTAGTTCTTTGATTACCATTTACTTGAATGACAGTCAAAAACAGAAAGACAAGAACAAGGCATTTGGACACGATTCAGCCTTTGAAGCTAGGCCCTCAGAAGCAAAGTATGTCATGGAGGAGGAAAAATGGGGACCCTCCAGCTCCATGAACTGGAAGAGAAGCAGAAGGTATAGACAAAAAAAATGAAGTAGTTTGGTTTTTGGTTTTGTTTTGGTTTTGCATAACACATTTAAATACTAGAAAGAAAGAGACACTGCTAAATGTTAAAATGTTTGGCACAGTCAGAGGTCAATACTGCTCCTTGCAAAGTATGTACAGAGAATACATACACCTGCACAGCAATCAACTATGAAAAACAGTATTTTCACTGCAGACACATTCTCTATTGTTTGTGGTTAGTTACCTAACACTAAGAACTATTCCCTCTGTCTAGCAGGTGTAATTTAAAATTGCCCATAACTTGTTCATCAGCTTCGCCCATGAGCTAGAAAGAACATCAGTAGCTAACAATGAATTCTTACTAAGATTTAAGTATCCCAAGCACATCAGGAAATTTAAAGCTTCACAGTTGGAAGGAGAGGGAGGGAGACAGCTATATTTCAGTTTTCTTTATGTATATAAATTTAGGAAACTGAAGAAGTTGTCCCCTGATTTCTCTAGCCAACTTACCAAATGGTGTGTGTTTTTGTCCAAATCCCAGCTCTTCCTAATGGGTTGCTTTCATCATCTGTAGACTCCCTCTCCTCCTCAGCTTGCAAACTGTACTGCCTAACTGCTTGATATACAGTCATATTGTATGGCAGCAAGTGATCTCCAATGTAAAACTGCAGTCTGTGTCTCACATTCCCTGAATTTAAGAATTGAGCAGCCTGAACAAAACAAAAAAGCCACACACATTAGGAAACTTGTTCCTAGCTTTTTTTTTAAGCCTCTCCCCACACTGTTCCCTCCCTTTACCCCCAGAGCAAAAGCTTACCAAAGATTCGTCTATTTCTTCATCTGACCCATCATCATCACTATCTTCATCATCTTCTCTAACTCTTCCATAGCCTGAGGCAAGAGAGAAGAAATATAGCCTCACTTGTTTTTACATAAAATGTAGCAATGCTTTTGTACTCTGACTTTTATAAAAAACACTCCACTGTTTAAAACAGTTCCAAAATACATCAGTTAAAAAAGTAAGGTTCAGATGTGTTAGAACAAGTTTCAGTATCAACATCTGGCATCAAAAATACCGAGTTACAGCCAATCTGACAGTCAACTGGATTATACTTCTGTCAGTATTTAGACCGAACTGTTTACAACAGGAAAAGGTTTGTCCCAGAAAAGGGAAGATTCTCTGCAGCCTTAGTCTCCTCCCCCGTGAGCAAAATACATTTATAGGTACCTCCCATTTGTCTTCAGTATAATTCTCACAGGCTTTTACAGACTTTGCACTACTGATGGTAGCGACTATCCCAAAAAGTAAAACACATGTAACTGTATAATATATATATATACCTCTAACTACAAGGTATCTTTCAATGGCTTGTACCAACGCCAGAGGATCAATCTTCACAGGTCCACCCTTCCACTGTTTCACATTAGCACAGTCTGGATGTCTTTGCAGTTGGCATTTTAATTGATGTGTATTGAAGAATTTTAAAGCTTGGGATCCTCTGTTAAGAGAAAAACTCAAAATAATTTGTGAAAAAAGTTGCTACACAAAGAATCTAATAACCATAATTGCATTAAAAATGCATTAGAACAGGCTTATATGTGCATTTACAAATCTGCTTGTTCAGAGTATTATTTCTCAGCTTATTTCTCTAAAAATTAGCTATTAAATTTCAGATAAACAGATGAAAAATTTTATTCTACAAGAACACCAGAAGCCAAGTTGGACAAAATCTGATTTGCCATGGAAGCTACGTGGGCTGAAGAAGTCCAGTCTGAGGTCTGATTACAACATAGCCTATACTGACCATCTTTGAGGTCTGAAGTTGTTCAGTGGTCAGCTGACACCACATAGATTTAGAGTGTTTACCTGAGTTCAATTAAGGATCAAAACTGGGGGTGGAAAATTCAAGTATCATTCATGTGTTTTTTAATAAGGACCTAAAAAGAGTCAACCTGCAAACTCCTCTGTTTCTTCTTGCCAAGTAGAGTTTATATACATGTTCCATCCCCACAAATTATCAATACTCAAGCAAGTCATTTTTATATGCAAACTTCTTATCTTGGGCTGCTTTTACTTCCAGGTGCTAGTGAAAGACTACCAAATCTTAATGCCTCAAAATCCTCATTTACATAATCCACAGTAAGACTAGCAATCAAACGATGCTGCAGTAGTCTGACTTCTCATGTTTAATTTTCTATCAAAAAGAACAGCAGAATTTTGTTTCTATAATTAGCAGTTAAGTTTTGTAGTTATCCCATTTTTTACAGAAACAGTGCATACTAGGAAGGGTTTTAAGATTACAGAGCACATACTATTTGCAGAAGTCAGTATCAATACAATTAATTCCTTCAAGTATTAGAAATTTGTGTATTGAATTCACTGCCATGGATTTCAACAGTTTCACAAAACACAAGTACCGGATTTTAACACAAATTAGGTAAATGCTATAGCATGAGGCTCTGATACATCTACTATATCAGATGTTGTGTCACATTTAGTGACAAAAACCCACACTTCTTACTACCTGAGACACAGAAGATTGGCATTTCAAGCTTATAGTTTTTGAATAGTTTTCAAAAGTTCATTTCCAATGCTCCTCCCCTCCTGATTTATCCATAGTCACAAGAATACATCTGTAATGAAATTGAGCTTTTAGCTAGCACCATAGAATACTCTAACAACTTACGCACCACCTTATACTGAAATAGACTAACTGCTATACAATAAATGAAAAAGTGTTAATTTATAGAATCATAGAAGCTGCTACACTGGGGAATAATAAAAGCAGGAACGACTTTCCTTAAGACCAAAAGAAAGATTTGGATTCTCTCATCTACCAAAAGGTTTCATAAGCATCAAGACTCAACATCTACAGTGTAATGTTGGGTTCCTTCCAGCTGCCAAAACCTTGATGTGAGTGTTTTCAAAAGCAGTTTACCCTCAACAGTTTCTCTTGGCTCCCAAAGGGCTCCACAGGTTTGGCTAGAGGAATTTTAATCTCATTCTGAGACAGATTTGGGGGGGCGAGGAGAGGACAAGGAGAACTGAAAATTTTGGGAAGCATTTGTCAAAAGTGGAAGAGATTCTGTAACAGTTTGTACTGTAGCTGCACCATGGTGTCCTAAGACTAGAAATTGTGAAATGGCAAGATCTTTCTAGCATATTATGCACCCTGCTTGCACTTCCCTTTCTGTGGTTGAAATTTAGTTATGTTTCCCTGATTTGCCTAAAATTTCTGGGGAAAAAAAATCTGAAAAATCTAAGGATTTCAGAGAATGAAGTTAACAGAACGTTATACTGCTAATTCTAACTACTTTGTGATGTTCAACTAGTCTTAGCCTTTGAATAGCTAAGACTTGCAATTTCCAAGTACAACCAAGGATTTAACACATTCTCAAATCCACAAGACATACATGGCAAAGCAGAATTTACTGCAACGTGCCAGACAACGTCACCACAATATTTTTACATTTCTTCCTGCACCATCTCCCATCACATCATCCTGCCAACTGCTTTATAATATCAAGAGTTCTATTATGCTTAGGCTTCAGTCCAAAGCTTAATATTAGAGTATCACAACTCACAACAATACTCTATATATGTTCCTACCTGAAATCCACCTACAAAGAATGGAATCCATCTATAAAGAATATGCCTAGAGCAGGGCATGTATTTCTGAAGCTGAACGTCATTTGTAAATGGTAGTCAAGAAGTAGTAAATTAGAACTGATACTGACTGACAGACTTTTCAAGCCCCTCACTTTATCTCAAATAAATCTGAGGTAGCGGACTCAACACTCTCCAGATCTTCTGAAAATTCTTCGCATACCATGAAGGAATAAAAATTATGCTTTGCTTTAAATTACCTAGGTAGGGCACAGTGAGTATCCAGACATTTTCACTCTGAACACCAGTTTGGTGGAAATGCCCTAGAATCAAGGCTAGTATCTCAGATACAAGCACTATCATTGTGCTCATTATTAACAGTAGTGCTCCTCCAGTTCCTCTAAGGCTCAAGACTAGAAGTTTCAGACTATGAATACCTCAGATAGTAGCTTTAATAAAGTAATTCACTGTTCTTTATACTCAAAGTTGAATCTAACACTGACCAACACTCTTGATGTGCCATAATGACTCTTCTTTTTTCCTGGCAGAAATCGAAGTAGCCTTAAGTGTGCAGAGTAAATACCCCATAGTAAAGTAGTTTGGATAATTCGGTTGCCAGATTCTTCTTCAGTTCTTTCACTGATTTAAGAACCTGGTTTGTCAGAGTTAGCTTTTTTTCCCCTAAAACCTCTTTTATGTTTTAGAATCTATTTGTAAGTTAGTGGCAAATACAATCTGCTTTACTTTTGAAAATCTTTACCCTTCATTTATTAAAGAAAAGTGCAGAATTGAAAATGCAGAAATAGGTCTTCAGTCACTCAGGTTTGTTACTTAAAATGCAAATAACATGCTGATTCTAAATGTAATCTATCTTAAGACACAGGGCAGTTCTACAATTATTTTCAACTATGCTGTCAACCAACAGTTATCACAGCAGTTATCATCCTAGAGAACAGAGCCTGAGTAACAAAGCAGTGTAATACAAACTCTCAGGAGCTTAACTACTACTACTACACTAAGAAAATATCAGTGTCTCAGCAACAAATAGACCATTTCTTTCCAGTGTTTGTTATACGGGGACAAGGAAGACATTTGAATTTTTAAAGCTTAAATTTAGAGATTGTATTTAAAATTATACATCCACCCTCAATCTAAGCAGGAAAAGTTTCAAGATGATAAGCAAACACTTGGATAATCATTCAACCTTCCACTGAATAAAAAAAGCCAACTGCGCAAATGCTTGTGTCTTTAATAGGGTCAGAAGTTTCCACTGCCTCTTGAACTTTTAGTATTGAAAGAAATTGGGGAAAACAAAAGCTTCCAACAAAACTGGCACCTGAGCATTAATCCTTACCTGCTCCCTGTTCCATTTCCACTAGGGAAGTCATGCACTTTGACAGGAAACTGTTCCATCTGACTGAGGCAATTGTTCATTTTATGGACTAATGCCAACAAAGGTGCATTTTCTAATGGCTCTAATCTTCCAAGGGGTTCTTCTCCAGGAAGCTGAAATATATTCCAGTCTTTTAGTTATTGCGTTTGAATTAATTAATCTTAAACAATTTATATCACAAGTTGTTTGTTTTTGTTGTTGTTTTTTAAAGGAAGTTAAGAATCACTGCTCTCACATAAAGTAGCAGCAGTATCAGGATGAGTAGATGACACAAGTTTATGAAAGAGCTGTTTCCAAGAACATACTTTTCTCTCCTGGTTTCAGCTGAACAGCCCTACAGATTTTAAGTATACACCCTTAACCACAAGCAGTAAGCTTCATGGAAGCTATGGTTATCTACTTTCTTCTCTTCCACTTTAAATGTCTTACTTTAAAAAAAAAGCATTATCTAATTTCTTGCAGTATTTAGGACTAAAGAGAGCAGGTGATAACATTATTATCCAAACTCTTTCCACATCAACTTCTTAAAAGTCAGAAACAACTCCCAAGTTGTTCAAGCCTCGGACAATTTGCTATTTGGGAATTTTTTACACTGCTGTATAGAATTTTCTGTAATTATAGGGTATTCTAAAAAGTTTATGACCTGTAAAGACATAGATCCATGCTAAAGTTGCAGGGCTATACAGCTTAGGCATAAACAAAACATTCCTTCCATACTCCATCTTTAAGTCAAGGTCATTGCTGAACCTCTCATATGGTCAGATTTGAGAGAAAGACAACAAAGAATGACAAAAAAATGAACAAGAAAACTTACTGGAGAAGAAAAAAACACGTGAAGAAATCTTTTCAATCTGATATCCCTGCTTACAGCATCTTTCTCGCTTTTAGACGTCAAATAAAGCAGCAGTTGTTTAACAAATCCACTATGCTGGATTTCAAATGAGGAGACGTCAGACTCTGAGACAATGGTACGGATTTCTACAAGGCACTCTGTTCCACCATCCACCTGAAAAATATGAAGATAGTATTTTACTACCCAGGTATCAAGGGCTTAAAAAATACTATTCTTCCTCCTAATGCATGGAACAGCTCTAAAGACAGGGAAAAAAGGGAAAGTTTTGAGTGTATAGTAACTCAATACAAGCAATGACAGGGCAAATAATCTGAGGATAAGCAATTTCTCTATTCAAGAAGAGACATTACAGGCAACATCTGCATTTTCCTCATTTTAGGAGAAATGTAGGGTCCCATTTCTGTCTCAAGCAACATAAAGATGAGCTCCAAACACAAGTTTTAAAATAAATAAATAAAACTATTTTGGTATATATTTCACATGACATCTGTGTGGGAGAGAGAAGGAGGGAAAGTTTCACACTTGAATGATTGCTTAGATCAAAGCACAGAACTGTTCAGCTACTTTACAAGTCACAGGTTTAGACCATCTATCAGAGACCACAACTGTCTAATAAGCAAGGCTCAAGTTCTTGAGATGCTAGTCGATTCAGCCCAACCTGTATTTCTTCTATCCTTTCAACAAAATGCTACTTCCCTCTTGTCATCCTCCCAACCCTAAAGTTCTTAGGACAAACCATGTTCTGCTTTAGGTATAAAGTCAATCCCTAACACTTAACAGTAAAATTTTTAATTTTGAAATAAAAATGCTATGTAAGTGACACATTGCTACGAATCAAGAATAATACCCTTGTTAACACTAATGACTTATCTTAAGTTATATGTGTCAGAGCTTACATTCAATTCTAAAAGAAATCCCAAGCAAACCATTGCAAGTTAAGAAATGCTGTATCATCATTTAAGATAACAAAAGATAACTCTTACAATATTGGCCATCCTGTCTAAAACGGTCAGCTTTCCTCTAGTTTCCTCCTAAACACTTCTGCTTCCACTCCCACCCCCACTCCAACCAAGTCTCCCATTTCTAACCTGGAGGTTGAGTTGTTCAGTTGCAGTGCAAAGTCTCTGTAATACGTTTAGTGCAGGATTGCTTCCATCCATGTTTTCAGAACTAAAATAACGTTCTACAAATTTATGAGCTTGCTCCTTAATCCAGCCCTTAATTTTTTCTCTGTAAAGAAGCACACAAAAGGCATTTGACCACACTTAGCATTTTCATACTCCAATATTACAAGTAAACACAGCCAGAGTATCATTGCCCCACATTTAACAGCAGTCACAGACAAAAACCCTTCCCTCTTACTCCAACACAGTAAAGGTCTATTCTCTACAGATTACTTCTTCCACCATTTTTCAGTTTTCCAGTTCTTCCCTAGCATGCTGCTTTAAACTATTAAGAGGTTATCTTCTCTACCTTAATTTCTTGCTTCTTCCTCCAGAGTTATTGTAACAGTCGTTAAGCTCAAATTTCTTTGATAGGTGCTACTTAATCTGGCTTATCATAAGAAAGTAGCTGTATGTCAAAGTCAACACCGTATTACAAGTACTTTAATTTTTTTTGTTTGTACCTGTTATTGGAAATGGTATCCTTGGAAGCAGCCCTTGCAAGACCACTTACTCCTGCTGTTCTTGCTGGTTCAATATTATTACTATTGGACTGTGTGCTTAATCTTCCCCACGTTTTAGGATTTAAACTTGCCAAGAAGGAGGATTTAGGAGATTGAGTAGTTGTAGGGCTTTTAGCTGGAAAAAGCCAAGACAAAATTAGAGAAACAACATATTTCTAACAGCTACCACTTTTGACAGCCTATAGGCTTACTTTTAAATTTAAAAGCACAGAGCATCATGTTTTAAGAATTATTTACCTTGATTGTCCACTTTGTCATCATCTCTTGGAGGAGAGTATTTTGGTCTCCTTGGCCCTCGTTTCGGCAGTCTTTTCCTCTTTAGAACATCACTCAGTCGTCTGTCCAAATTTAAAAATGAAGTAACATGCTTCCATCCACCACATTCATATGCATACCCATCCCTCAGTTTAAGATGCATCTGCCAGTTATTTCCTCAAGAACTAAAAAAGCTTCCATCCCATAACAAGGAGGGCACAAGAGAAGAATGAACTCTGTGAGAAGTGGCCTCAACTCTATTTTAATTGGAAGGAGAAAGTGACTACTCCGTCCAGAAAGAAGGTGCTTTGCCTGCTGTCACCCTTCTACTATGGGCAGCTGCCAGAAATGCTACTGAATAAAGCTGTCTCATAATTTTCATATTTTTATTTGTGTAACCAGCTCGTTATTAATTTGAATACATTATAAAAGAAAAAAAACACACACCACAAATTTCTGCTGAATAAACATCAAAAGACACTGGATATTTGAGCTGCCTCCCCTATTAAAGCCCAGAAAGCATTTTTCCAACACTTCCCAAGTTCACACATTTCAATTCTGGTTTAAGGTGAGTTTCCTTATTATGCCAATACATTAGAACCAACATTTCACCCTTAAAATAAGGGCAAGCTATGTAACCCTAAACTAGTTCATTCCTACAAGACACATTCCTACAAGCATTCAGAATGGTTGCATTCCAACACAATAACTTCAGAATGACTACTTTTTCCTCCATTCTCCAGCAGAAAGGAACCATGTACCATAGCTATCATTCCTCTGAAACCATCACTCTGTCCAAGAGTTACATTAGACTACAGCGGTTGGTCTTGGCATTCTCTAGCGTCTCCCCAAACAGTAGATTGTTTCATATCATTATATCACAACTATTGGGTCACTAGTCTTATTAAAAAAAATAAAATTAATATAAGATTAATCAAAACTACCCATTGATAGCTCCATTTTAGTTCCTTTGAGGAAAACATCACAGCAAAACACAGATGATACTGTAGCAGCCCATGTCAGTCAAGACTTTAAAAAAAAAAATAAAACACCACACACAAAAAACCATAAAACATACCCACCACAGACTGTTCACAACAAATAGCGCTCTTACCCCTGTGGGCTCAGATCCAAAGAATCCTCCCGGCTGTGTTGTAAACTGGGAGATCCCAAATCTGCAGCTGCATTACTGGCAGCAGTGGCTGCTCCAGTACTTATTGTTGGAGTGGTACTCAATGTTCCTGATCCATTAGTGCATACTTTCGGTGGGCTTGTTAGCAAAGCCTCAGACTCTGACAAGTTTTTCACTTGGTGCATCACCCCTTAACAAAAGAAATCTTTGTTTGGTGGGTTGGTTTGGTTGTGAGGGGGGTTTTGGAACAGGGGTGGAGGAAGGGGAATGACAAAGGTGTTTGAAAGGTAGAATTCTGTTATTAGAGCCTCTATTTTGACTATGGCAGCACTGGCTCACCCCACCCATCAATTCTAAGTTTTAAAAGCAGTTCAATCCTTTCTTGAAAAAGTTAACCTATAGAGTTTAATTTTAAAAAAAGACAGAAGCACAAACAGTAGCTAAAAAATGCAAAAATCATGAGCAGATTATAACAAAGACTTCCTGCCAAAGATTCATCAGTTCTGCCAGTAAGACTACCCATGTAATTTCAGCAAGCCACCTTCAGCCTAAACGTAAGTTCATTAGCATCTATTAAACCTGTACAAATTTGTTTCAGATTCAGAAAAAACAAGCTTGGCTCCTCCAGAGTCTTGGTTAGCTCCTCCCCAGTCATATGACAATAGCTTGCATGGATTTTTCTTTATTTTTATTCAAGAATAACAGTAACTTTTTACAGCTTAAGGGGGATGGAGTGGGAGATGAAGGATATGAATTCTACAAACACATTTAAAATTCTAAATAGGAGATGAGAAAAAAAAGAGAAAGCAAGATTTACCTTCTCTTCTGAAGTAAACACTAAAAATGTCAGGTAACTTTTGCATCAAAATCTCTGCCATCTGCAGGGCTCCAACTACTATCTTAAGGTCTTGACTTGACAGCATGGAGGCAATATGACTAAAACAGATATTTTATTAGAGTTAGTTTTGTCTTTTCATTTTTTGTCATTTGGAAAAAAAAAACCAAGCCAGTTCATCCTGCATACATAGTACTGAAAGCAAGCCAATTTCATTTGTAAAAGCCATAAATAAAAGGACTGAAAAAGTCCTCCTCTTGCCTGAATCACTTTTATCATGTTTTAACAAGGAAAAGAAAGTTTTCTTTCTTTAAAGAATATGGTCGTGTGGAATTTACCCTGCCTTTGAAAAACTAGTAGGTTTATTTTCTAATTGCATCCTTTTATCTAGATCCCTAACTTCATGGTATACCATGTAGGAGAGGTTTCACGAATAGAGCTTACCAGTCAAATGCCATGAGAGTGTGCTATTGTTCACATAGCATTATTTCAAAAGTCATCTTGCCCTCAGAAAAATTTACAGGCAAGTTTCAGAAATCAGGAGAAGAGTAAATGGTAATATTAGACATCACTAATACAAAATTTAAGTTTATAACAAGACTGCCTAGAGTTGGCACCTACTGCAAAATCTAAGTGCAAAAAATTCCTGAAGAGCTGGCAGCCTCAGCTTTTGGAAAATCAATACATAAAAATTTAAAAGTACAGTCTTCCCCTGAAAAATATGATTCAAAAAAGTAATCACAAGTTTGAGCTGTAAGCTCAAAATTAGTGTCACTCACAGTGGTTAACAAACCCACCTTGAAACTGCATGGTTTTTCAGCACATCCTTCAGAAGTTCAGCATCAGCAAAATAAATTATCCTAAGAATTGCTCTAAGGCACTTGTGTCTAACAGCAGGTCCAGCTGAAGAACTATATACTTCATAAAGAACACCAAACAATGTTTTGATAAAGGATTTTGCCAGTTCTGGGTCCTCTTTCATTAGTTGTGCTCGAGCATCATCCTTCTTCAATTCTGAATGTCCACCTGTGAGAAATTGTGCAACAAATCACTGCACAGTTCTTTCCATCTCTGCTCTGATATTACTTTCTTTTTTTAAAGATAAATTTGTTTAGCTCTTGAATTGAAAAGACATAATTTAAGAAGCAGAAGCCAAACTGATGGCAAGAAAGTAGGTACAAATCATCCTCTTTCAAAGAGTCAAATCCTTTTTCTTCAGTTTTCTTATATACTTCTGTGCGATAGTAAGAAATCTTCACACAGTCTTTGTTAAATAAAAGAATTAACAAAACTGTTTCAGAAAATCCCAAGCAAAGAACATCCCCTGCTCCCCCCAATTTAATGCATTTTCAGTTCCCAGAAAAATAATTTACATGTTAAAAAGAATACCCTTCAACAGTTTTTGTTGTAAAAAACAACAAATTTTGTCATTCACATAGATCAGAATATTCTGATATTCCACAGAAACCACAAGAAATATATTAACTAAGTAGTAGACTGTTGCATAACCCAGCATAAGGTACCCATAGCTAGAGGCACTACGTGTCTCCTAAGCTGTACTTACTAGTGTTTGTATTGGCTAAAGGATTTGGTTTTCGCTGAATGGCACGTGCTGTTCCAGTATCCTCATTTATTTGCTGCATAGAGTTGAAATCTATAGTATACACACGCCCAAGTGTAGAAAGGCTTATCTCGTCCTCGCCAACCTGATGAGCTGCCTAAAAAACCAGAGTTTAAAGTCAAGAAATCCTTAATAAATAGGAAGCTATATGAAGGGTGATGAGAAGGGCAACACAGTAGAAAAAACAATGACTCACAGAAATACAGTTAAGCAGTTCACCCATTACTGAATATGAAAACAGTGCAATATTACAGCAGTAGGTTTGAAGAAACTCATGTTTCTTACTCAAAGAACAAGGCTGGTATTTTCAAAACCATAAAGAAAGCACTCAACTCCCTACACAACAGCACACATATAAAAAACATTACCACACAAGTGTGTGGAATTGCTACCTCTATTATTCGACTATCAATCCTGTTATAGGGATGCCAGAGACCCCTATCATCTCGCCATTGCCATATTGCACCATCTGTATTTTGCGCATTTCCTTTCTTTAGCATAGTATCAACAGCAAAGATCCCCTCTTTTGGCAGGCAAGGCATCAGCTCACTGTAAAGAACATTAAAACAGTATTTTACTACAAGTATACAATAAAGTCCATTTAAACTGAAAACTGTTTGACTTTGTTTTAGAGAAGTTAGGGATTTTAACATACCAGCTACACCCAAAACCCAAGGCTGCATAACTTACCAGATAAGAGAAGTAAGCTCATAAAGTTCTTGAGGACTTCGTGGAACAAGGTCAATTTGTTCTTGACAACTCCCATTTGAGGCTCCACAAAGAAGGAAGTGAAGTGTTTCTGCAATATCTATAGAAATTATTATTCATTAAATTGCCTGTATCAGAATATGGATTCCATTTTGTGTCAGACACTGCACAGAAGAGACAGTCATTGCCGTAAGCAAACAGACAGTAAGACAAAAACTCTCTCTTCAAACACGGTAAGAAATATATTTGTTCTCAGGTCTGGGGGTTTGTGCTTTTTTTGGGGTTTTCTCCTTTAAAAGACATCTAGGGGGGGAAAACATCACTCAATATATGAGGGCACAGTCAAAACAAGAGAACATACAGGGCAGCTGAAGTGACAAAATTTATGAGCTGAAAAGAAGAAAACAAGCGAGAACTAAGACAGCTACACCGCAGTTATTTTCTTAGTGTTTTCCCTTAGAAAAAGCCCTTAAATCACATTTCTCCCACTACGAAAGGAATTATTCAACTTGTGTTGAAATGAGAGTAGCTTGTGCAACTAATATAGACTCAAAAGTAGGTGAGCACTCCAGTGACAACAGCTAGAGACAAGAAAGGGCAGAAAAAACCCTCAGAAAAAAAAAAACCACACCACAAGAAACTTTCAACAAGATGAACTGAACTTTGTATCCCAGCAGAAGCATAGAAAGAGAAAAGTAAGAGAACACAATATTTATATAAATCAAGTGCACAGAGTTCCACACAGACTGTAGGCACTAACTTAAATAGGTCCCCCAGAATATCAAAGACCAAGAACTCACTTTGCTTCATAAGTTGGACTGCAAGTGTAGGACAATTGGAGCACATTAAGGAAAACATGCGCACCACCATGATGAACATTCCTGAGCTCAGGATAGGAGGCGTCACCACCAAGAGCTGCTGGATATTTGTTAACAAGTCCTTGGAAGCAACCTGCTGGAGCAAGTTCTTCAGGAGGGAACAGCAAAATTAAAAATATTAGTCTGACTTTGAAAGGTGAGCCCTTAGAAGAAACAGAGAGGGAAGGAGGAAACAAAAATCCACACCCAAAAAACACACCCTTACCTCTTCATGCTGGAAGTTATCCACTAGCCGTGCAAAACAGAGACAAGTGCTTTCAACAGACTTTTTGTCCTATTATAAAAAAAAAATTAAGTATTTGGTTGAATTAAGATACTTTAACTTGCATTAGATTATCTTGTCATTTCGAAGTATCCATAAATTTTTTCCAAAAAGGCCAGACAAATCACATTTTACAGAATATTACAGCTCTGAATTCTAAATTAATTAATACATTCTAAGCTGACCTCCTAATATGGCATATTCCCTAGGAAACACCTCACACTTGGAACACAAATACCTTTAAGGACTTGTAGAGATGAGTAAATGGGTCTGTAATATTCTTTTTGGATTCTACAAGGAGCAAACAAAAGGGAAGACAGCTACAAAGCCAAAGAAACAGGAAATATAGATAATAATGAGGAGTGAAGGGTACTGTTCTACAGGCTACATGAAGCCTGATTTTTATCTCATGCAGTGCAGCCAAGACAGCAAATCCAAAGACACCAAGACCGTAAAGATGGCTCCAGAAATAGTTCTAGTTAAAAGTTCACCAAACACTCAAAGTTTATCTGAACACAATAAAAACACTTTTACTGTAAGGGTGGTTGAACACTGGAAGAAGCTGCAGGGAGAGGCTAAGTCTCCATCTTTGGAGCTCTTCTTGGGGGGAAAAAAATTCAGCTGGACATGGTCTTGGGCAATCTGCTCTATCTGACCTCGTTTCAGGAGAGTGTTAGGATTAGATAATTGAGAGGTCCCTTCCAAACTCAACTATGCTATTAAGAGTCAACTCAAACTTTTTTCTTTTTTTGCCAAAAAAATTTTCCTTCTTAGGAGTCCCGTGATTTAGGATTCATCACTTCAAATTATTGTGCAACCTTTTTTTAAAAAAAGCTGTAAGCCCTCCCAAAAAGTCAAATCAGAAAAAAAAAACCCACATAAAAATTGAAACTGAAGCTTTTCTGAGTTTGAAGTGGTACAGAACCTTGCAACTCACTTGTCAAAGAGAAAAGAACAGTAATGCTACCGCATTTCCTCTTACTGCTGGGCAACAAGGTCGGACTACAAACCCACTATTATTCATACTCTAAGTTGAAGTACCTTACTTATTTCATTTTACAAAGTTAATAGGGGTGTCATGAGCCCTTAGAGCACATTTACAAGAAACAGAAGGTCCACATGCATATTAGAATATCACAGCTTGACTGTATAGAAACTTTAATGCAATTATCACATCGCAAAGGCAAATACACAGTAAAAAAACTAGATATCTGGAGGCAACTTTATATCACTTTCAGGTCAAAATTAAAACTTTCAATTTTATAATAGCTTCTTACCTGATGGGTTAACCTTTGTGTGAGTAGTGGCAGAGAGTCTGCCACAAAGTGAAACTCATCAGGAGTTATACTCTGGCAGCAGTTGGCAGCAATAGCTAGTGCATTCCTCTGGGCATTTATACTGAAGAATTCCAGGTACAGCAAACAGTCTGCCAACCCACCCTATAACAACATAAATGAACATTTTCACTCTGTACTGCTAAAGTCACAGAAACTTGTTTTCTTATCTCATCTTCACAGAAGATCACCAAGATGTAGAACCAGTAGAAGTGCTTTCTTTTTTACTTACTGCCTGCAGAATGGCTTTACTATGCCTGCGTGATAACATCTCCAGGGCTGTAAGTGCCTGCTCTGCCACATCAATGCACTGAATAACTTGCAGCTACAAGAAAACAAGAAAGCTTGTAGATTAATTTCTAAACCAGTTTGTAAAAATAATCTTCATTAACACTTGGACAGTCAGCCTGTCTGTACTAAGGCACGCATACTAATGTAGATGCACTGCTCGCTGTAATCAAGCTAGCCAATTTAAGACTAGATCAGCTATATAGCTACTCCAGGAGTTACCAGTTTGTGTAATTATGTAGTATCTTTGCAACACCAATCAGACAAAAAGTCCTCAATGAATCAGATAGTGCTTTCCAGTAAGGGTGTGAACAACTAGTAAACCTGTTTTCAAAAGCTTCTCATGCATTATGTATTATCTTGTAAGCTACTAAAAGCAGGCAGTATCTTATTGGCATATCCTAAAGTTAAAACAAAAGATAAAATCTCCTCATATCAGTTTAACGCTGTTTTTATTTCATTTTACCTTTTCCAAGAAGACAGGAATCGCATCTACCACTACCGCAGATGATCTGGGAAGTGCTTCCATCATATATGTTAAGGCCCGACATGCATGGTTCATCTGTTAAATATATAGATATTTGGGTTTGAGATGACATTTTTCTATTTCAAAAAAATTCTTAAACATTAGAAATCACTTACAATGTCAAAGTTGTGCTCCATCTGTAGCAGTGTTATCTGTTTTTAAAAAAAAAAAAGTATTGTTAGTTTAGTAAAAAGTATTTCAATATCAACATAAAGGGCACAAACCAATATTGTAGCTTTTGGCTGAGGACTTTGAATTTTGATAAAAGTTTCAAAAGAGCCACAACCTATTCTCAAACTATTAAAGAATTAACAGGACTATCAAAATTTAGCAAAACACATCCTCAAAAGCAAATAAAAAATATATAGATATACATACATAAATATAATTAAGAATAGACAATATAAATTAAGAATTTTATTAAAGATTTAATCTTTACCAAAGCTGGTACAACACTCTTGACTGGAAATCCCCCTAATGTTTCTTCATTTCCCATGACCAACAGCTGGCACATCTCAATCACTGCCTGTAGTTGCTGACTTTCATCAGTGGCTTGGAGACCTTGTAAAAGCTGTTGGGCTTTAGAACCTAGATATCCAGAAAAGAGATTAGGAAAGAAGAAGTTAGAAGACATAAGTGTTCAAGGGAACTGTTACGCTATACTTCTGCCAGAGTGGAAGATCAGAGACAGTTTGTTCTCCTCTGTATTTGTAGTTTCACTTCCTTTCCTGTCATAAAAAGGTGGGGATAGGAAAGGGAGGCAAAAATCTCACTCTTGGCTGTCCTTCCAGTGCAGACTGGTCAGCACAGGGAGTCCACCACACTGCTCACCACAGCCATCTTGCCAACCTACAGCGGGTGCCAGAACCCATACCACTCCACCTTTATAAAGCAAAGGACTTTACTTTTTACTTCCATGAGACCCCATCCTCTTCTTGGCAGGCAGAGTAACAGGCTGCCTTTGGCTCTGCTGGGAAGTCAAAGAGACTTGGACTAGAAGGTACACATTTTATCCAGCTGCATAATGCAGACATGGTGGAACAAGACTAAGGAACCATATTTTCCCTGACACAGTCTGAAGGAAATGACTTCTGTCCGAAACATTTTTGAAACTAAACAACATATCTTCGAACTGACATCTACTAATAGCTTTAAAGCTAGCTTAAGCACCTTTTTAAAGCTAGCAAAAAACCCAAGAGGGTTGGAGAGATCTTTTGTTAAGCAGCCCATCATGCAAAAGGAAAAGATAAGGAAGGGGTGAAAATGCAAGAACCCTCCCTTCCCCACCTAGAAGGGAACATTAAGATGCCCCAAAAAAAGAAAAGAAAATAAAAGAAATATGGCTAAAGCAAATTTCTCTTCCTTATAGGAAGGCAAGCAAATTAATATTGTTGACCAGTGGTCTAGCACTATCATGACACACAAATCTCCAACAAGTAAAATAATACATTAAACTATGAAGCTAATACAAATATTAGAATTTACTAGTGACTGAATTCTACTAGTCTGGAAGTGGAAAGAATTAAGTCAAATTAGACAAACTTTGCTTACTAGCTCCACTTCCAATTGTCCTGTGGAAGAGCTGCGACATCCGAGGACCAAGAGGGCCAAACAGGTGAGGAGGAAGACCCCTAGCCTCTAATAGAGCTAAAAGCAAACAGAGGATAACAGCCATTGTCAAAGCTTCTACATATATTTTCAAAAGCTTAAATTCCATGATGCTATAATTTAAGACTAATAGAATTTTGATACTTGAAAAAAGAAGAGTTAGGATTAGATGACTGTAGCTACTTCAATTTCCAAAAACACCAAAAAGATGATCCTTAGAGAACAAGTAACTCAATCTTGTATGCATCAGAGCATTAAGGCCCTTTAAGAAGTCACCCACTGAGTTGCCAGGGTTACATATTTCACAGAAGAAATCTGGTCTACTAAATTGTTGTAAATCTAGATCTAGAATAGCAGATATACCAGACTGTAATTTCAAATCTCAACTCAAACTATATAAAATAGGTTAAGCTTATCTTCACATTTTCAGGAACTGAGTGGCACTATCAATCTGAAAAAAATGACACTGAAAAAGACGTTCACAGCTTTATTTGTTGATAAACAGGAGAGGGAAGAACTGATAGATATTAGGGGGTTTTTTGTTTTCTTTGCTGAACACTTTTCAGAGCTAGACTAAGTGGGTGATTCTGATTTTTACTGGAGCAAGCATGACTACTGCTGATCAATACTATAACAATTAATAGTAAAAACCAATTTAGCTCAATATTCCTAATGTATACCTGTGCTTACTGAGGACTATGAGCAAGTGAACTGGTAGTGATACATTTCCACATTAAATATCCAGATTAACCTAAACCTGTCATTTGCAAAGGAGATCATAATATCGGAACCCCTTGCAACACAGTGGCAAAATCATTAAAAAACAGTTGCAGGGCATGCAAACTGACTTTCTACCTGTCTGTACGCTCAGGTTTTGAGACCTGAATCCTTCAGCCCATGCACAAAAGCAAGCATTTTAAGAACATTTAGATTTTGTTCGGTCAAAGCTTACAGCAACATGGGTATCAACGACAAGCACAAAAAAAAAAAGTTATCCAGAAGCAGGCAGAGTAACAGCAGGCCTAACCTGGCCTGTCAACTGAAACCATTCTTGCAAAGACTTATTTTCACATTTGAGCTTACACATTTCATTGGACTGTGATCTTAATTCTCTCCCCCCCCACCTTCTCTTGAAAAATCATGAATAGTAGTGTACTACACACCATGTAAGTTAGTAAGGACACTAAGCCACCCCTTCCAAAGATTACTTTCAAATTCTTGCATCTTTAGTGAATTAAAGCCTGTAACTTCATACTTCAGAACTACAGTAAGCAAAGCAACACATTCACAGACAGAAACAAAATACAGTCTTCCTACTACATATAATAAAGAATTTGAGAAGCTAAGACTCTTAATAGGCTGCAAACAAAAAAATAAATGGTAAATTAATAACAATGTTTATACCTTGTAGTCTTCCCATCTCAGAATCATCTGACTCACTTTCTCCAGAGGTTGTCATACCTACAGCCCCAGCAACAGAACTAGAAGCTAAAAAAAATGAGATATATTAATGCAAGTTGAAGTGCCTTAAAAGCTACAAATTTCACATCAATTCCACCAAGACAACTGTCCACTATCAGAAGAGTGCTCTGCATTTAACATTGCCACCATCATACTTCCATACAATTGTCACTTTAAATAGACCAGTATACTCCAAAAGCTAAAGAGAGGCTATATCAACACAATAAAAAAAAACCAATACAGCTAGATCAGCAAATTAGCCTTCAGACAGAATTACCTGTATCCTTAGTGAATTTATGCTTTTCTTAAGTGAGAGTCATGCTGCACTTAGTTTCTGATAATTTTGACTTTTTGTACTGATGTAGCTGGCTTTAAGCAGAGAATGTTTGAGATTTTCTACAATCCAGCATAATTGCTGCAAAGCTCCTTTGAACTCACTACTGATTAGGACCAGATAATTAAATTAAGCACTATTTAATATTGTGCAAGTAAGAATATTTAACTTAGTTACAGATTTCTCCAGTACAGACACACTTGCAATCTCAACAGAAAACTTGTAGAATAGTACTTGTAGAGTAGTTACAGAAGAGCTTTTACAGGTAAATGCATGCCTGTATTCTGAAAAGTTTGGTGTCTCTTCGGTTGGCAGTAATTTATGTCACATTTTTAAAAAAAAGGTATATGCCTGAAATCTAAAGTATTTTATTGGACATACTTTAGAGACTACAAAAAAAAAGCATAACTGAAACATGTACCAGATATCCAAGAGATCAGATTAAAAGTAAAAAATCTTCCAGAATTACTTACCAGCTGAACCAGCATAAATAATTTCTCCCTCAAACTTAATCTATTTAATTATTTTTAAATACAGAGAGGCTTATATCAGCAACTATACTAAAAATGCTTCAGTTGGAATTTCTTCTTACCTGCAGCTCCCTGAGAAGCCTCATCTGTACGCGCAGCTGAAGAGTTAACTCCATCCTGGTTGTTGTCAGGATCAGCCATCTTCTCCTGTCGGCGAGCTTCAGCTGCTCCTCTTTTGCCCAGGCCAGAGCCTCGCCGACTAAGGAGTCAAAAAAACAACTTTCATAAACTAAGACAAGAGATTTATTTATGTGAGACACATAACATTTACGTAGATCACTACCACAAAGTTGCACCAGATTTGCCTAAGAATCAGTCTTCACAAAATTATCCAACTCTTCCTTACCCACCTTGCCCCACACCATGGCAGCAATTTGTTTATACTAACGCATAACTGCTAGTTCCTTACATTATTCCCATCAAGACAAGGCAGCCTACTAAAATATAACAGTCAAAACGAGCAAGATTAAAGTCACTGTTCAGTTATAAATCACAGACAAATTTGAGAAGGTCGATGACAGAGTAATATCTTTAAAGGAAGTTCTGAACTACTGAAAGCACAAAGAGAACTCTGATGTTCTACTTCGTTTTCAGTGCCAAAACAAGTCTGAGTGGACAAGCTTTTCTATACTTGCTTTTTTAAACACTACTGTCATCACCACTTCAAATATTTATGCCTATAAAGTAAACAGTCAAATTCAAATGCACACTTGACAACAGAATCAGACTTCAGAAGCTTTTTTTTATGGCATGGAGGAGGGGAAAGAAGTTGTGCTGGAACTACTAAATGTAGTTAAGCATAAGAAAAAAAATAAAGCTTAAGGCTTCATTAGTTTAGCTTCAGAATACATGCAACTACAAAAATTTTTTGTATCACAGGACACATTTACTCCCACCTCCCATTTAATCTACCAGCTGTTTAAAATCGATTCAGGACTGATTTGGACACTTGTAGAATTGTTCACATGCAGCTGCTGACAAGCTGAGTCAGCTCAACAGCGTCCACTATTAAAACAAGAGTTCTGTGTGGTACCATAAAGTCTTATTTTTCAAAATAGTAATCTATTTTATTATTCATGATGGACCATAGTTTAGCACTCTCTCAATGTTCAGTATCGTTTTAAACAACACTTCCCCAAGGAAAGTATTACTTAAATTTGTAATATTGGCTTTGGGTGCTTCTTTCCCTCCATCCCTATGGCTGAGGGACTTATTGAAGATCTGATGGTGATAAATTCTATGCAGTATCCATGACACTGGTATACAGAGTAATCCAGCTGGCCTGAAAAGCTACAGCTACTTCTACAGTAGCAAAATAAGAGAGAGGAAAGGCTAATTTATGTGCATGAAAACTACATTAATATCAACCCACTGCTGTCACCATGTTTCATTATCTTAAGTTTTACCTGGTGCTAGCACAGGAGCCCGTGGTCTTTTGCCGTGTGCTCCGCCGCAAACTGGGGAGCTCAGAAGGTGGTGATTCACTGCGCTTCTTTGTAGACTTTCTTAGACCTGAGTAATATGTAAAGAAATGAAAGTAAATCAGTCTTTAAATACACAGCAGTTCAACAAAGAAATTAAAACTTCCATGTACAGGAAACTTCTACAAAGAAGAACGGATTCTGCATAAAAACTACAATAAGCCCACACGAGCTTTTAGTCACCTTACACTGAACCACTATACCTGTAAGAGAAAGGTTCAGATATTTACTTTCACTCATTATTTTGAGTTAAGTAATACTAAGCTCCAAAGTTGTTACCTAAACACCTTTCCCTAACCTACACACTACCATTATAGAAGAGCTTGTAAGTATTTCTCCTGCTAAACAGATTGTTATGACATATAAATTTATTATTTCCACATGCTGATGTTCAAAACATAAAAAAAAACGAAGATGCATTAGCTTCATATAAAGAGAGAAAATGAAGTTAGGTTGCGGGGAGAAGGGCATACAGAGCAGTGGTGATCGCATCTGTTTTCTCCCACTTCTGAGTAAATCTGTGCAGCATAAACTTAATCTTCTTCCCTATCTGAATCATATTTTTTAGTCAGCTGTATTCCCATGAGTACAGCTTAAGAAAAACTGCCTTAAATCAAAACCCTGCTTCCATCCAGAAGTCAAGCACTGCCAGTATTGAGGTCTGTCGTCTGTATTGTGTGTGTTCTTATTTCAACTACATCCCTTCAATCCCTCACACTATAAGGTCTTCCTTGAGGCAACAACCAAGCATATCTTCACAGCTTTTGAAAAGTTCTGAAATTTCTAATTTGTAGGTATTTGTACAATTGAAGACTGACCCAACTGAAATTAATTTGCTCTAGCTTATGAAGCCCTTGTTCCAATGATGCATTCCACCACAGAACCCAGTAAATCTTAAATACACAAAACACCAATGCAATACAGCATTCTCAAATAAGCAAGCTTACTACCAGGTTAGAACATCCCGCAAGAGCTTCCAAACCAGAAAGCTCACAATTAGTGTTGAAAATTAAAACCCTTATCAGGCCTAGCTTTACATTTCAGTCCCACCACCTTTACAATAAAGAGAACCCCATAACATTCAATGTAGACATACTATAACTACAACAGATGTAAATAGCTTTGAAAAGATGGGAACGTTAGATCACTGCTCCCTCTTCTGGCAATGAAGCAGAAATAAAACATATTTAGATGTGCAATGGTTTTGAGCACAGTACTATTAAACTGGCTCCTGCCTATTTCCTTAATCCTAAAAACATTCCAGGAATGCTGAGGGGTAAAATGATAACTATGCAGCTTCTCACTGGATATCTAACAGACAAGCTATTACTGATCTGGTCAATAGTCTGTCCTTTCAAACACTATACTGTACTTGACCCAGGAACACAATGCTGTGTGCAGTTAAGTTCTAACTCAAGAAATCTGGCAACCATAAGAAAACAAGGTTCTGTATTTAACAGCCACCAGGCACTGAACTGAAGCAAGACAGACATTTGAACTTTCAGATAGTCTGTACATATAGAACAAAATACATACCTTTTTCAAATATTTTAAAAAATCAGTGTTGTTTTTACTACATAGTCTTTCAAACCAAAAATTTAAGTTGAAGTTGCTACAACAGAAGCACACCATGCCTCCTACCCTATTTACATACAGTAAGACACCCTGGGAGGTGGGGGGGGAAAGAAGTGTTACTGAGATACAAGACAAAAAAAAACAGTTTGAAAGAGTTGCAGCAGGATCCCATACCATAGCTGTCCAAGCTTCAAGTTCTAGAAGCGCACACATACAACGGAACTCCCCTCATGGCTGGTTATACTTTACACTAGAAAATACATGCTTTAATGGGCACCAGGTACAGTGCTGTATTACTCCGCAGATAAAATGTGTTTACCACTGAGTTCATATTACATGTATGGAAAAGTAGGCTACACTTGGTACCTGTAACAGTATGGTGAAATTCTAAGTGAGATGTACTTGTGCTTTACTTTTAGAGGAATAAATTAATCACCCTGTAGAGGTGATTTTTACAGTAGAGTTCACTGTAAAAATATAAAAATATATTAATTCTTTACATCAGCATGCCACTTACTCCTTCAAATCTGTGGGTACTCATTTTCAAGTACTCAGACCTAAATATTACGTAACTCCGTATCAGCTTTGTAGTAGACTTATCAGTGAGACACCACACATGCATTGTAAGTGAATAAGACTGACTTAATTCATATCAGAAGAGGATTTCTCCTAAGGGCAAAGGTTTCACAAAAACAGCAGAGCCAGCTTAACAGCTTGCTGTTTTTTAACAATATGGCACGCTCACTCATGTCTTACTGTTCCCAAACCAATCTCAAGATGCACAAAGTGCACACCTGATACACACTTTCTTACTCCGTTAGTATTCTGCCAGTTTGGTAAGCTGAGCTTGCTTAACACAGGTCAGATGAGCATGAAGCAGCAGGGCAATGAAGCTGTGAAATGAGCTGTCGTTTTCCATAAGAGGCATTAGATCAGCTGAGCCATCTCTTTAAACTGAGTGATCTCATTAAGACCGGTTTAGAGAATGTAAAGTTACCCAGTCACCCCTTGGTGGATGAGTTGCAGACTACATCACAGTCTGAGCACCCTGATGAGTTGAGCTCATTTTCTCCTGCTGCCCAGAATGTTCTACCTGTCAGATCTTTTCGCATGTTTCTCTTCCCAAGTCTTTGCTTCTCTACCTCTGATGTATTTACCAGGGCACATATGAGCTTCCACCTCTGTCTAATAATTTCAAAAGCTGAAAAGGAAGCAATGGAAGACTTAGAGCTTGTTCCCTTCCCGCTGTTCAGTGCCACTCTTAGCCCTTGAAGTTTGTTAAGAAGGCTTCTTAAGTCGATCTTAACCACCTGCATCTTTTGCAAATCTTTTGAGCCTTCCCAATACCATAAGCTCAGCACTGTTAATTTCTTTAGCATAGGACCGAGCCTTCTTCCTTTCACTCACACTGTTGTCAGAATGTGATCTTCCCCTTAATGCACTGCCAGCATGGTCTCCCAGCTGACAGCTAGTCCTGTACAGGAGTTGCAGAAAGCAAACAGCCCCAAGCCTTCACTGGTAAACAGGGTACAACCAGCATTCAGAGAGATGGGATTAGAGATGCCCTGTGACTACATGATGAAGGAAAGCACCAATCATTCTGCCACAGACAGACAGCAAGGGCTTTCAGGGAAATTGGTCTGATGTTCATCTCCAGAAGCTGTTTATCCAGCACTATTTCTATAATATAGAACTATCATCAAGAGATCTGTTTCAAAGAGTTAGTAAAAATTATGAACAGAGGTAGACTTTCAATAAAACAAAAGAAAATTAGGTTTAGGAAGTTCATATTCAGCAACTGCAAAAGCTTCAGATGTAAACTTCAGAATTAAAACAGAAGCATAGGTATCATAGAATCATAGAAGCATAGAATGAC